GTTTGAGTTATTCTTTGGCAAAGTTCCTTGGTTTCTTCAGTTTCTCGCTTTTCTTCAACAAGATCCCTTCTATAATTGATCCCTTCGGCATTCTTTTTGTTTCTTTCATTCTGCTAAGTATCTGAAGCCGCATATACTTAAAAACTCACTCTTTCTCAAGGTCAACTATAATAGTACTATTCACTGTTGACATCATGTGGAAGCTTTTCAATGAGCAAGCCAAGTGTCATTTTCTAATAATTTATTTGTTAGTTTAATTTTAATATTTGAATCAATCCATTTGGGGTACAAAAATTCAAAATACTAAGTAAAGTCTGTGTGAAGTATTTTATTATGGATATATTATGTTGATCACGTTACAGATCCTTATGTTTACAAATTAGGGTTAATTTCACATACCTCCCCTAAGGTTTTTAACAATTGCAAAAGCTCCCCTCAAGTTCTAAAAATTACACCTACCTCCCTTATTTTCACTATTTAAGTAACATTTTAGGCCCAAAAGGCTATACTTTTTCTCAAAATTTCTATAATACCCTTGAATTATAATTCACAACAAAAATGTAAAGGAAAAAAATGGTTCACAATCTCTATTTCATTTATCTTTACTTGATATCACTATTACCTCCCCATCAACATCCAACTCACCATTAAATAAATAATTATCTTTGTTCTGATGTTTCTCCTTTTCCTAAAAATTTCTGATGCAGACCATTGTATCAACTATAAATGCTACATCATATATCCAAAAATTTATTTACAATCTCATATCAATATCAGATTTTATTTTATACACAACAATATTCATCAATATCTCTAAATTTCAATTCCATGTTTGCCACCTTTTTAATACAAAATAATCTAAATCATCACTACTAATATCAATATCCAATATACTCCGTTGGCATAGAGTTCAAAATCAATCAAATTCTCTCTACAGGAATAACATCAATAGTTGTAAATCAAAAATAGAAACACAATGCAGTTATAAATATGTATCAAGAACATTTATTTCATGGCAACCATAACAGTATAACCTATATTTAGTTCCTATTTCATTTCCTATCCTTAATTTTTATTTTATTTTTATCATTATCACTATCATCATCTCCATCTAGTTTGATAATGAAATTAGCACTCATGATGAGAGTGCACCAAGGCTTCAAGTTGCTGATTCAAAAGGCTCGAGTGAAGTCCTAAATGCTCCAATGATAAACCTTGGACCAATGACTCGAGCAAGGGCAATGAAAATGCGAGAGTCTCTTCAAACATTTCTACAAGTTGTTCACGCTCCTATAGAAAAGATTCAAGAGACTCACCACACGTTGGTGAATCTACTCCAAGCCAAAGAGGAGGTCACGGGCTCCTAGGAGCATACGGATTGCTTCTTGACTTTCTTGTTCGAAATTAGTAGCTAGTTTGTAGGCATGACAATAAGGTTGAATAGCTTATGTTGAGCCTTAACCGACCAGCTTTTAGTTCATTAGGGACGAGTTAATAATTTCAAGTTTGTTTGAGTTAGTGAGTTTTTCCAAGATACGTTAGGATTAGGATTATTTTTGAGCATTAAGAGCTTGGCCGAATTGTCTTCAATCATCAATTATCAATATTAATTTTCAGCATTAAGAGCGTTTTCTCTTAGCTTTGTTTATCCTTTGAATATCTTAGATTTGTTCTAAGTGTTCTTCTTGGTTTATTAAGCAAGAATCACATTTGTTTGTGGCACCATTCTACCAAACACTATAAGTTCCTTTAATCACTTCTTGAGGGTCAAGAATCACTCTTAGTTCTCATCCAAGGGATTCTAAGGGGTTTAGGGTTCCGCACGTTCAAGTCTTGGAGTCGCTTGTCTAGATCCTTCTTGTTAGAGTACGAGTTCGCCAATCGGGATTGGGTTCGTATCAACTCAATTTGTTATTTGACAATTTCAATTTGTTAATACCTATCAAAAATTGGAAACAAAAATGGCCGCAAGGAAACTATTTAATAATAGTGAAAAATCGAGAATTGGGAATAGATACCAAGATATGTAAGTATTCGTAGTTTGGTGTGTATGGTAATTTTATTAGTGGCGGTAGTACATATTTGGTTGATAATAATAAATAAATGAGTTTGAAAAGAAAATAGATGTAGGAGAAAGAAGATAGATAGTTAAATGAAAAATACTGTAGTTTGAATAATTATTGGTTGTTAATAGATGAGAGAGTTTTAATATTTGATAGAGTTTTTCAATGAGTTTACAATTAATAAAAGGCATTGTTGTTTTTTTAACACACCAAGAGAGGTCTCCGTAATTATATAAATGTTAAGGGAACCGAGTGAAATTGTCAAAAACCTCAAGGGAGGTTTATGAAATTATCCCTACTAATTACAAAAAGTCCTAACAAATTCTACCAAATCTTACTGCTTTCAAATTCAACAAATAAATAATACGCCCTCTGTCCCAATAAGTTTGTCAGTTTTGGGGAATTGTGTTTTTTATCAACGGTGGTCAAAGAGTGAAGGAATTGTGTTTGCTTTCCATTACTAATCTTCACTTATTGGTGGGAAAATGTGTAAGTTTAAGGGTCTGTTTGTTTGGATGGAAAATGTTTTCCAGAAAACATTTTCCACATTTTCTGTTGTTTGGCTGTCAATTAATTTGGGAAAATAATTTCTGACAGAAAATAAGTTACACCAAGCGGAGGAAAATCCATCGTTGTGAAGTTATTTTCCTTCCGTAAAATCAGTCTTCTTTTCACAAGCTCCAGCGGTGAACCATCGACAAAAGACCAGTCCCTTCTTCGGCAGCGATAAAAGACCATCTCCGGCAACAGCTCATCGGCAAACCAATTCCTTCTTCGCCAGCGGCATCTCCAGCTCCGGCGAAGACCCACTTTCAGAGGTAAGCAACTCTTCCAATTAGGTGAGGGTCTAAGGCCAGAGTATATACAGTCCTGATGCACTAGCTTTCGCTTATAAACTTGACAAGAGACTCAAGGAGATTAGTAAGAAATTAGAAGGTGGGGAAGGCAGTGAAAGAGGAGCAGGGTCTGCTGCTGCTGCTGCTGCTACAACTGGACAGGATGCTGCAGACGCGAGTTTAATAGAGAATTTGGATACATATCGGTGGAGCTCGCGAACGGTGGATCCAAGCAAGGTCCATGGATTCGAGGACAAAGAGAGATTCTTGGAGAGGCTGCTTCTCAGGAAAGAGGGTAAAAATGGATTCAAGGCATTTGCAATAGTTGGAATGACCGGGGTCGGGAAAACGACCCTGTGTCAGCTAATCTTCGACAATAAGAAGGTGAGGGATCATTTCCTCCCCAGGATTTGGGTGTGTCTGTCAAAGCAGGCTGACGATGATGAGGACAACAGAAAGGAGACCGTTAAGAGGATGCTAATATGCTTGGGAGTGGATCTTATCATCCAAGAAGCCGGTAAAGATCCAAATCTTGGTCTTCAGAAACTGATGTTTGCTCTTCGCTTACATGAAGAGACTCTCGGCCCTTAATGATTTTTTTTTTTTAGAAGGAAAGTAAAAAGCCAATTCATTAGTATCATTCATAATTCCATTCATGAGTTCATGGTGTAATATGAATAAATATTTTATAAAAATGAGAATATGATTATAATTGATAAAAACTAAAATTAACCTGTAATAAAATGAATGTTTTGAGAGTAGAAAAATATTTACAACATATTAATAAATATATCAGAAAATATTTTCATTGACAAATCAAACACCGGAAAATTATGAAAAAAGAAATTTGAAAAATATTTTCACTTAATAACCAAACATTGGAAAATTATGGGGAAGAAAGTGATTTTCCAGGAAAATGACTTCGATGGAAAATGTTTTCCCTAGGAAAATATTTTCAGTCCAACCAAACGGACCCTAAAACCGTTTGAATATTTGAAGCTATATGTGGGGCCAATATATTATCTTTTGTGCCTAAATCTTCTTACAAGTAGGCATGCTCTAGTATGCTTCTGACTCATCTAAATGTTAGTAACATCCACGTGCTATTTGAACATATTTCTTGAATGTACGTTGCAAAGAGAAGGTGGACCTATAACATTATTCAAAGATTTCTTGTGCAAGCGTGTGAGGGGTAAAAATTGGAATGAGTTACAAAATTATTAGCCAAATTTAGTAAGATGACGTAACTTTGAGACAGACCAAAAAGAAAAGTACGATAGTTTTAATAGGACGAATGGAGTAATAAATACTTTATTTTAATATTAAATTGTTATAATCATTTTTAGCACGGAATATAAAGCCAGTTTTGACTATTCTTGAGTTGTTGCATTGTAGAATCCCTGTTTCAAAAGTAAAGCCTCCCTTCAAAGTTCAACCTTTATGCTTTATGTATTAATGAATATTCCAATGACTCTTTGCTGTCTGTAGCATCATACATGGGACTCTGATATTATACGTGCATGGACAAGAAAAGGGTAATGGAATTGGTCAAATTCATCGAAGGAAAGGGGAAAAGAACGGAGAGGATGTTCACTTTTTGCAGTTCGAACTAGCTACTTTTGGGGGAAATGGCGGAACCGTGGAGCAAAAAAGACATAAAGAAAAAAACCCACAAATCATCTTTGAGCAAGCAATTCTAGGTGTAGGCTGGATAACTATTGTCATATTATATCCGTTATTCTCAGATAGGTAGAGATATATAGTATATATATATATATGGATACAATTTCACGCTTCTCACAACTTCATCATGATGATTGAAGCTGCCAATTATTTCTTCTTTTGCTATTGCTACTCCTCTGCATCTCTGACTCTATCGAGAATGAAAAGTAACGCCATGCTATAGTATTATTTGCTAATGCTTTTGCTTTCCGTAAATATCCATCCATGGTCGTGGATGGAGATCCTATAGCAAGTGAAATGATATATCTCCCGATGCCGTAGTATTATTTGCTCGTCATAGTCGCGATATTTGGAAAGCTTGCTACGGGCGCCATATCTTTGTCTAGCTAACCCGTCCTTGAAGGTGTTGGGCGCACCTTCAACATTGCCTTGTCAACTAAAATTGCAGTGAAATCAGAGCAAGCAGAATTTATCAGTCATAATTAATACGCCAGAAAAACGTGTTACTACTTGTGCATGTTAATATGTATGTAATGACAGAGCCATGATTCGTAGGATTGAGTGCATGAAGTATAAAGGATGCAAGATGGTAAAACACACCCTTCCCTCTCCCCCACCACGGGCAACCTCTGGTACCGGGACCGTATTTCATATGTTTGTTTTTGTGAAGATTTGTGGGTGTTTTATGATGTTACTGAAAATGGTTGTCTTAAACAAAATTTGTTTTTCTATCTATAGGTCTTTTTCATGTCAACACTCAACAGGGTGTGCTGTGGATAAGTATTCAGAGAATGCTGCGGCGGTGAATACTTGTACTTACGTTTCTCAGTGGTAGTTTTCCTTTTCACCCGATTATTTCTTGGTAAAAGTAGGAATCTAGGAATTTCTAGATGCTACAGGCCTGAGAAGACAACGTAAGATATTTATCAAGTACAAGTAATTTGCGTAGTACTTTTGGCGGATTCTGGATCATCGTACTTTGGCAGTTATCGTAAAAGTTGGAAAGTGTGGGTCAAAATTTTCCTAGCATCAACGCTACTGCTTGAATAGTAGATTCATAAGGAAAGATATGCATTGTATTTTGGCTTAAACCGTAAAGAGCAGGTGCATGCGTGTTCTGTCCATATCTGTAGGTAGAGGAGGGAAAGAGAAGTCGGAAAAGACACCTGAAAGTAAGCATCTAGTTTCCCCTTTAGGGTTGCATGTTCTTGCTTCACTGCTTGGAAGGCCCCCATGCATCTGCACGACCAATGAATCATGTAGCAATAGACCATCATTTAGCTAGGCTCATATAAGTCACTAAAAAAATAAAATCAAATTAAAAAAGCATGAGGGAAAGATGTAAGCTGAGCAAAGTCAACTTGTACCCTTCAGGGTCCTCTTCCTTGCAGTAGTCTTGGAATCGGGTGCATTCCCTTTTCACCTTTTTGGCACCAATGCTGCATCGAGTTGAAGGACAATCAGGGTGCTATGCATATGGTTAATTTGAATGATCAATCACTACCAAGAATGTCTACTATCTAGCAATCGATACGCAACCTTCTCAGCTGTTGAGATTGAAACAAAGAAAAGTTTTCTCTTCTGAAATGCTAAACCAGTTTACAAAGAAGTCGATTGCATCCAATTCTTGGAAAACTTGATTGCCTAAAACCTTGTTTTAAGATTCAGATGCAGGGCCGAGTACTGTCTGTTTCGTTACATGCATGCACGCACGCACGCACGCATGCATGCATGCAGATGTTATGCCAGTATTGATCGAAGAGCAAGAGTAGATCTAGCTTGCCACATGATACATATCTGCATTGGGGGTAGAGATACTCATAAATCTGAAACTGAAACATTAAACTTTGTGCTAGGGCATCTTGGATAAGATTTTGTGTTTTGTCTGCAGTTTTTCAATGGAAACGCGTTACTAGAATGCTGTATCAAGTCAGCAGCGTTGGGTCGTTTACAGCCCACCTCATCCATATCACCAAATGTTGCATGGAATCTCTGGAGCCCAACTGAAAGATGGTGACTTCTAAAATCTCTTTACTTATGAAGCAAAAAATGCTTGTGCATCGACAATTTCTATGATGTCAATACGCCAAACAGTTTGTTTTCATGCATCCCGTGCCAAAAAATGTCAATACAGCATCCTTTTCCCAGCTCCTAGCCCCACGGTCCCCGCCCCAAGTAAAAGAAATCCTGTGTAAAGATCCAATTACCAACTTTTTTTCTGCATACATCAGTAACATATATGTATATATATATATATATATATATATATATATATCAACATATTACCTCCTCTAAGATTAAGTAAAAGAACTTAAGTATAAGCAATATCAAACCAATCTAAAACTAGCCACAATTATCGTAATGATTTGCAGATACAAAGCATGTTATTCTGGCTTCTATCAACGTGGGAACGAAATTACATCTTTGGAGCTCCAGCTTGCTGGTTGCAAGCGTGAGCATCTTTAATATTTTTCTAACTTTTCAATCCATAAGGAATATTTGGAGCAGTTGAATTTTTCTTTCAGTCAATATATTTGATGGGATGTTTTCAGATGCAGGCATTTGAAGAATAAGGGATCAGAAGTATATATGCTAGCTATCATTTTTTTTGGCAACTTTATTCCAAGAGATACCCTCTCGCTTACTCAGCATTTGTGTGCTTTTCACTACATTTGAGTCGACCTTAAAGTAGTTAGTCGAGTGTTGAAAACCTTTTCCATTTTCCAATAGACAAGACACCTTCTAAACATGGTCAAGGCCTCTCCCAACCCTTTTGCTTTTCACCTTTATTTTCACTTCTAGCTCTTAAATTTGTTGATGGGAAACTAAAAAAAAAAAAAAAGGAATAATGAAGAAAGACTCTCTAGATATCAATCAAGTTCTATTAGTGTCCGATTTTTCCAGGATGGATGAACACATCCCATTTGAATTGTTTTTTTTTTTAAATTATTATTTTAGAGTTTTTATAGAAAAATGTATTATAACGATTTGATGCATATACATTAAAAAAATAATTAGAAGGCGGGTTCATGAAAATTTTTCCTTCTTGAAAAACTGCAAACCGAACAAGGGCACTGTTCTAGCTCCTCACTATTTCGCCATTTTAGCACACGATTACTTCCAAATAACTACAGTTTACCCTGAGCAGCTACCCTTGAACTGGTGCATGACATCATCCAACTTGCCAAAGTCCATAGGGTTTTTCCCCCTGCACAACAATAATGTAATTGACAGGATTGATATTTACTAATTGGCATGCAAAACCAAGAAACTAGGTTAATTATTAAGGATGGGATTTTTCTCACATTGCCATTTCAATGTTACGGATCAGTCTTGCTGAATCATTGTAGAAAACCCTGACAACTTCCTCCACAAAGTTAGGGTTAGCATCATCTTGCAATTCTTCCAGCTGAATAAATTGCTCATCAAGATAGCCCTGCAAATTAAACCACAACTCAGAATCGGATGTTAGATATGTGGGCATCCACGAGAATAAGATACAATATCCTTCACATTTATTCACATGGAATCTGATAAAAAAGCTTCTCTCGTCAAGATTCCTAAAAAAAGAAAAAAAAAGCTTTCGGCTAGGACACCATTTGTGTCCAAAGTATCAAATGACCAATGAAGTTTAACTTCGTACCAAAAAAAAAAAAGACCAATTAGGTTTAACTTCGTACCAAAAAAAATTTTTATAGTATTTAAAAAATTAATTTTTGAAAAACTAGTGAATCCAAAAGAACAAATTTCGGACTGTAGCTTTTTGCTTCACCACATGGATGTGATCCACCAGATAAAGTTGAGATGCAACACTGTTTCACTGTGTGTGTTGATAACTTTGGCTACGATCAAATCTTCCGTCCTTCGCTTTTTAAATCTCTCCATTCTCTTATTAAAAAAAAAATTGAAAAGAAAACAGTTTCTCTTTTCTCCTTTCCACTTTTCAAATCCGCCGTCCCTCCCATCCTGAAAAATTTAAAAAGAAAAAAAAAACTTTGGCTCCATTTGTTTGGTAACTTTTCCGAGAATGATTTTTGTTTTATCTCATAGGAAATAATACAATAATATGTTTCATATCTATCTTTTACGGACAAGGGGCACAAACGGTTGCAGGTTGTGTTCATTTTTCACGGCGCGTAACTTCCATTGCACACGATGTAATTTACTTTGCACACGATGTAATTTTACAACATTTTTTTGTGAGTTCCACACATGGCGTGAAAATCGAGTTACATGCTGTAATTTGAGCCGCACAAATTTTTGAGGTCACATCGTGACCGTGAACCTTCAGGAACGGTTGTCACTGACAATCGTTCCTGCCCCATTTCCATCTTTTACATGTGCCACTTCCATGATAGCTTATAATATGATGACATATTTCCATCTGTCTTTTACACATGCCACTTCTATGTATAATAGGCTACTCAAATCTTCAATTATCCACCATCCTACGTGGCTGGTCATGAGAAACTGCTCAATCCAATATATATATATATATGTCAAGTTTACGAGTAGAGCTGTAAACGAACCGAATCGAACCGAGTATCTCATGTTTGAGCTCTGTTCGTTAAGCAGTTCGAACAACGTTCGTGTTCGTTCGTTAAGTTTCGAACTCCAAACTTGTGTTCGTGTTCGGTTCGTTAAGTAAAATTCGTGTTCGAGTTCGAGTTCGTGTTCGGCTAGTTTAACATAAACGAGCCGTTCGTGAACATGTTCGAAATGCTCGAATCCAAATTATTTTATGCTTTAAATATGCCATGCAAATTATTAATTATTCTTAAAAATAATTAAAGCACTAAGTGACTAAATTCTATTATTCATTAACTATATAACTAACATTAACATAAAAACAACAAATAAAACAAAGAAATTTGCTCTCCAAATATAAAAGTCCAGCCATAAAATTAACCCTAAAATTTGTCAAATGATAATTATGTCTATGTTCACGAACGTTCGTTAAAACTCGCGAACATACTCGTGTTCGCGAACGTTCGTTTAGCATGCTCGCGAACGTTCGTTAAAACTCGCGAACATGTTCGTGTTCGCTCGATTATTAATCGAACAAAAAAATTCGTTCGCGACCTTTCACGAGCACGAACGAGCCGAAACGAACCGAGCTAACGAACAGCTAAGTTCGTTTAACAGCTCTATTTACGAGTAAAGAATTATATTCCACATTAGTCCGAGAGATAGAGAAAGAGTAGTTAATATGTAAGTAAGGGCCCAAAACCTAATGGATTAAGCTTTTCGATTAATGTTGGATTCCTGACTTATATATTGGGTTCTTTAGTGGACTCTCTCAAGGTGTTTCTCTCATATCAAATAGGTATCAGAACTTCAGGTTGCGAGACTGGACCACTCATGGACAAGTGAATTCTTGTCGGAGTTGGATTGGTAAAAATTCTCTTTTTAGTGGTGGATCAAAGTGCCAAAGAATTTGGTTAGTATTGGACCAAGTGCGTCATGAGTTTGGCAAGGGTTCCAGTTGGTGTTAAACCAAGGAATCAAGGGTTGGCAGAGGTTTAAAATACAGTTTGGATGTTAAAAAAGAGTATGTCTGTGTTTGGGAGAAGAGGTGATTTTAGGTGATAAGGTGAGATTGTGTTGAGTATTAAACTGAATTCAAAAAAGAGCTTGTAAATTTGGATTTAATATGAGGGGTACTCATAAAGAAAGAGATTTGTTAGATTCATGAATAAAGTGTTATATCTCATATTGATCCGAGAGATAGAGAAAAAACATATCAATATAAGCGTTCCTGTTAGTTGAGGCTTGACAGAATAATAACAGAGTTGAATCTCAAGCAAACTGATCCAGTTGCTTGATTCCTGTTAGTCCCTCTGAATTGGCATCATTGAATCAAAAGACAATTGGTGAAGCCACTTTCCAGGTCACGAAAAGAAGAGATACTCATGAAAAGGTTACCTGGCCGTCAGAAAAAAGCTAAAAGAAGGGGAGTAGATTCCAAGCAACTGTCAAGTTTGAGATCTTCGCAATGAACGACTGTGGAAACTAAAAATGTGCTAAATCTTGCAGGTGGACAGGATGGTAATTGCAGATTATATTATTGTTTCGTCGCACTCGCACAGATGTCTACATTTGTTATTTTAATTTCTAGATGGCCTTTCCAATGATTAGAATTGATAATCATATGGAGGTTTTTTATGTGAGAAAAAACAGTAGGCTCGCAAATTTGCAGACGAACTTCAAAAGCTAATTTGAGAGAGATGTATTCTCCCAATAAAGAGGTTTGGCCTGCTTGAGGAGGAGCATTTCAGATCATATTTCTAAAGGGTCCTAGGCATCCCCCATCAATATGCGTAGGTAGCTGTTTTTGCAAGATTGATCTCAATCACTTCGATCATGCTTTGCCATCAATCAAATACCACACAAGCTAGTACTGTTTGTCACAATCCTATCAAATAGTTCCAAGGATATTTATATATTTAGCTCATAACAACTTTTATTGAATTCGTCCCTTTTTTTTACTTTATCAAAATTTTCAATCAATTTTAACCCGACCAAAATTTATGGCAACTTGAAGGAGTTGTAGTAATGTACATAAATCAAAGCCCATTAGCATCTACTTATAGCTGCATATGCATGTCTAACTCAACCTAGATAAAATAAGGGTTAATTACATTTACCTCCCCTGAGATTTGACCATATTACCAATCAATCCCTATAATTTGTCCAAATAACGATCTCACCCTTTAAATGATCAAACATTTAACAAAACCCCCCTTAATGCCGAAAATGCCCTTATTGAGATCATGTTGCATTAAAAAAAGAACATATTTTTATTTTATTAACCTTCAAGCAATCCAAAAAAATAGAAAAAATTTTTGCTTATTATTTTATAAAAACCATATCTTTGCTTCCATAAATAGTTTTGAATCAATAATTATTTTAAATCTTAAAAATGAATATTAAAAATTAGATAAATTGAAAGAAAAATAAAAAAAGAAGAAATTATTTTAATTCCTGAAGTATGGTTCAAATTAAGGAAAACATGCTTTGTGCTCTCCGCAACATGACTTGAACCATAAATTCAAACCATACTTGAAAAAGAGTAGTAGTGTTTGTTCAATAATAATATGATTCCCCAATCGGGAAATTTGCAACTTTATCCAATCACCTATTTGTGATCCATGTTTGGCACAGAAAGGGAAATGGTCGACCATCCCGGAAATAGTAGTGCAATTTAATCAACCACGAAAAGTGGCCATCTCCTACTTACAGTGCTACTACTGAAAACAGGAAACCTTCACTGGCTATGCAAAACCTGATATTCAGTCAGCATGAATAGAGTATTACTAGTAATTTGACAACAAGATGCAGAATAAACCACGGCTGACTTTACAAATCAAATTGAGCAATCAACTACTCAGACGAGTGCTATGCAACGCACGTCCATATGAACTATTGTTTCAGGGTGCCTAAATCGTCTGATTACAGTACGGTCAGTTTATGGTTGCTTCAGATTTTCAACAGCTACAGAGAATTTAAACTGAAATGCATGCATGTATGTGCATAAATATGTAAATAGATGTATATACAATACATGCATGCATGTACAACTACTAGCCTAACAAAAAGCATATATATATATATATATAGTATATTTTACAGGCAACATGATAGAGCACAAACTTGATACACACACATTCGGGTATAGAGAAAACTTAGATACCCATCCAAATTTGCACATCATGCTTTCATGTATTCAAGATTACACTGTGAGATTAGTAATATAACCATGTAGAATGTATACTGAATACCAGTGATTGCTGTCCCTTTTTTATTATAAAGAGTACTAATGAATGGTTTTATGAGAAACAAGACAATTTTATAGTAGACTCAGAAATCCATTAAACAGCCAAAGGTTGATACTAGAAGTTCAAAACTAATGGAAACCGACCTATAAATCACTAATTTATTAAACAAAAAAAAAAAACTCAGATGAACAGATCGAGAACCCCCGGTCCATGACCACCCATGAGGGAATCTGCTTTGTAACCGGAAGCGACAACATGTCTCTTCAGGAAACGTAAAAGCAGACCATCATATGACCAGCAGGAATAATCACTGCATATGACCCAGTTTTCTGCGCCAAAAATGAACTGCTTTAGGAACTCAAGATCTATCTACTTTGGGTAAACTTAACGCAATAAGAAAGAGTAACTTAGGAAAGTGGAAAGTTTCAAGGAATGAGTTAATACCAGGCTATGACAAAGAGATAAAAGAGAGAATCTCAGTAATCATTGAAAAAGAGCACATCCTTTACATTAGCAGACAGTAATCCTTTGTCCTGCCCGACACTGTTGAAGATCCATTTTAGCTATCCCAGCATATCATGCAAAGCAAAAGTAACTGAATGAGATTTACACCCTTTATTCCCTTGCCGCCCATCAAGAGGTTAGAGGAGAGAGTGGTAGCAAAATTACAGCTTTCACAGGAGGACCATTGACCTCTCTTTCACGCTAAATGGAGCTGTGTGGTCTCCTACTTGCCTTTCTAAAAGATTCAAAAGCTCTAGGTGGGTGGGTTACTAATCGGGCATCAGAACATGATTAAAACTTTTCCTCTTCCTTCTACTGGGACAGATGGATATTCTTCCTCCCCAGTCACCATCTCCCATGTTGATGATAAGGAACCCAGGGAGGATGTGGCAATTCTCCAAACAAATTTCAACGTGGCTCACATTTATAAGTGAGCTCCGAACAAAAATTCCTCACGTCCACATCCAAAAGTTCCATGCCACACGATAAGAGCATGACATAGATTCTTCTCTCCTCCTCCAATCCTGCCTTTTTCACTTTTATTTGATTTTCTCTCACCTTTCTGGTCTAGTTTTTCAAGTCAAAGATTAAAACAATTTACCATGGACCCAAAACCTGAAAACGAAAAAGTGATGGAGGAGGAGCTTTCGGCACATCTGAAACCCTTTAAAAAGAAAAAGTTTAAGGAACCAGCAGATGGAAAGTATACCAGAACTTGCAATTACAAGGCACGTTGAACTAAAATTCAGCAAGAGACAATTGAACTTCCAATTGTAATGCCATTCATTTTCTTTTAAGAAGTGCACCAGGGATGCTAAAGCTGGATTATGCCAGATAATTCAAGTGGAACGGAGCAAAGGTGTTTTAAATCCTTAAACTGACCATCAATTGGCATAACATACTGCATCTGGAATTGCAGCTACAATTTACATTGATTTATAGGATGATCAAGAGGTGTACGTTTTGTATATACCAATAAAGGCAAACTCCTATCAGAAATCACGGTATAGATTTCAAAGAATAGGGAATTAAGGGAATTATCAACTGTTCAAAATCCATCTATTCACGCCCTTAAAAGGGAGGCGTGAGGATAGCGTAAAAGCTTTAATGCTTGCCTTTTTGGATAAATTATTTCTCCCCTCAACAGTAACGAGCTCATGATAATGCATGTTGGAGAATATGGAATTTGAACTTTTGATGAGTGAGCTTTTAGGTTGCTATCGAGCTGACCCTTTCAGCAAGTTCCAGAAGCAGCATGGGTTATATTTATCACCGCAAGAATCCCATAGCTTGGTACACATTTTTGAGGGTATTATCTGCAATGTCTGCAGCTTTTCTAGCACCTTCAGCCAACACTGAATCTAGGTAACTTGCATCAGACATGATTTCCCCATATCGAACCTGAAAAGTTATAAACTATAATTAGTGATGCACACGCCTTATTTGTCATATCCACTATAAAGTACCAGTCAGTGCAGGCAGAAGAAAATGTAAGGCCAACTATGAAGAATTAATTAGGTTGAAATGACATAGGATATAATCAGTCATCTGAGAATACATGATTGTCATATCAAACGTGAATTGAAGCACAAGGGAAAAAAAATTTGAACTCAGAGAAGGACAAATGGAAGAAAGAATTTTTGTTTGGCTTATGAGAAAGAGCAGTACAAATTTTAGCTTGAAAAAAATTGGGCATTTGGATGGTAGAAACATAGTACACATATACAGGTTACACGGCAAAATAATTGTCATGATCCTGGGGAAGCAGGCGTGCCTCTCTACATAATTTCACAGCCCTGAAATAGTGTTGCGGCTACTCTTCAATTTTAACTCTGCAATTTTTACTCCCTATGCTAGGAAAAGTATTCACATCCCGAGCAGAGAATCAGTATGACTAATTGGCTATATCTGATAGTCTGTCTTGGTAATGAAAATTCTAATGTAAGAACAGAAACCTGGATGGGATGCAAGTGAGCGATCAAAGCATCTGTAAGGACGGGTTTGAACGTCCCCCAGTTCATATCTCGACATTCTTCAGCCACTTCCTGAGGAAAGACAAAGATCACTGGCGTAGAAGAACCTATAAATGAAAGCGTATAACTGTTTTTAAAAGATTGGATTAAAGTTGTATGCATGATAAGGAGACATGAATACATCTTTCATAAAACAATAAAAAATCTGAAAACATGTGTCACTTGTTTTTCTAGAATCACAATCACTGCATCTCATTTTCATAAACGTTTAAAAATATGTCAAAATAAGATGCAATAACCTTTCGCATTATTGGTGTTTTTTGTGAACTTTTATTTCTTTTTTTTTTTTATGTTTTTAAATTTTTGTCTTGTTTTTAGGTGGGTTGTGCCACGCAAAGGCCGTAGTGCAAGGCCTAGGCAACATTCAAGAGTCCCTGGTAGCAAGCTACCATAATGAGCTTTCCCCCTTGAAAAATTGAGTTAATATCATGTGGGCCATCGGCCCATGTATCAGACATTAAACTGATAATTACAGATACTACATAATCATTCCATGAATAAACAAGTTTCACATTGGGTCCACTTTAATATAGGACCTACAACAGCAAAAATACACATTATGCTTTAAGGTATTGAACCTGCTTTGTCTTCCCCGTGACGAGCTGATAAATTGAGAGAAGATTGTTACATTCAGGTCTTTCAGAGTTATCAAATTCCAGGCTGCATAATTCACCGCAGAGAAACAAGCACAAGAAAAAGAAAAATGAATCTGAACAAGCTTGTTGAATCAAAAAGCAAAGAATGAATGCAAAAGTATTTTCATAAATCAAATAATTGTTCCAACTACTAAGGTCAGTAAGGCACTGAATACATACCCAGGAAATGAGTCAGTCTTGCAACGCTTAATTTTATTATTGACAACCTATGGAAAGCAAAAGAGTTCAAATCAGACCATAAGGTAATGTATAACAACAAAAATCAGGCATAAGATTATCTCATCCACATAAAAACAAATGGAACTCAAAAAATTCAAACTCAGCACTTCATTGACATTGACTTTCCAGAAAACTTGGTATACTAGCAGAAACTTGGTATACTAGCAGCACATTAAGGCAGTAAACCAATTTAACTCACATCTTTAGGGTCAAGCAAATTGATTCGAGACTGATCAGAAGGCGCCGATTTGGACATCTATAACAAAAATAAATCAGTCACATAAAGAGTATCAAAAACAGCAATTACAAAAAATATTTGAAAAAAATAGAGCACCAATGAAGACTAGAGTCCTGCAATATTTAATTGTCCCATTGCATGTTGCTGCCATTTATGTGATATCAAATTCTCAAGTTGACGAACAAAACAAAAGGGCAATCTGCAGAGTTAAACACATCATCTTAGCTACTAATATTGTTGGGGGGGGGGGGGAGCTCTGAGAGAGAGAGAGAGAGAGAGAGAGAGTTGTGTTAGAGAGAGAAATTTAAGGACCCATTTACTTCGTCTAAGGCCCTCATAGTTATGTCCTCAGTTCAATCAGATCAATCTGTCATAGTGCTCCCAAGTTCTGGTTGCAATGGTGCAGGGTAGGCGAGTGCTTGCTCACATAGCAAGGATTCCAGGTGCCTCAACAGGGGATGATGAGGCGCAACAAACACACACAGTGCAGCTGCCCATGCCATCCTACTCATTTTCTTTAACCAGAGAATGACAAAGGGCAGAAAAACATTCAAATAAGAAATATCTCCCTTTTAACCAAGCGATGTGGCACAATCTGGGCCATTGGTCTTTGAAGACCAGGTCTACCCAAGCTTTAGCCTTATTTAAAAAGTCTTTTATGGTGTTGTATTTACAGAGTGAGATCTAAGACAGAAAAATAACATAACGTAGTATAACTGTAAAACTCCAAACCTTTGAAAGACCATCAGTTAGGGACATGACTCGAGCTCCAGCAGGTGGAATAAGGGGTTCCGGAACCTACAATGATTATGCAATATCACATGAGTCATTCCCAGAAATAAACGCATATTAACTGAATATACGTAAAACCCTCAAACAGATAAGGAAGAAAACAGCCACCTTAAAAATTGCACCACCTCGCCTGTAACAAAAATTTGAAACCATGAGTAACTGCATCAAATGAAAGGCAAAGGAAATTCTCAATGAGATATTCAGCAGGTGCTCGACCCTAAGCAAAACTTGTCCCTTACCCTCCCAATTTCTTCCACTTCCTTCCTCCATAAAGATAGTTAACACGCTGAGCAAGTTCTCGAGTTAACTCCAGATGTTGTTTCTGATCATCCCCAACAGGGACATAATCAGACTGCAGGGGAACGCTGCGATGTATGAGAATCATGGATCCTCAGGATATTACCATCAAGATGTATAGGCAGCAACATTATTGAAGTAATAGCCTTCACCGCACAGAATATAAATTCTACTGATGCTATATTGAAAAAAAAATCTAACAAAAGAACTAATTTGGAAGCCTGCGTCGTTTCCCTGAACTTTAAAATGTAACCTTCAACTTTGGAATGAACATACACGACTTTAAAGATGAATTCTCCCTACACCCTAACACAAAAATGCAGCTTCAACTTTGGAATGAACATGCATATGCACAACTTTAAAGATAAATTCTCCCCACACCCTAACACAAAAATGCAGCATAGGACAACCCACCTGGTATAGCAAAATATCAGACGCCATTAGGACAGGATATGTCAGCAGAGCAACCCCAACATTTTCATCTCCCTACATACAGAAGAGATAAATCAAAACAAAATAGCAACACCATGAAAGCAAAATAAAGTGAAACCCCAGTGCCTGGCGACTACTAGTATCAAACAACTTCCAACTATAAGGTATTTGGTCAATATTCTTGACAACTAAACCCAATAATTTGGACTAGGTCCACTCAGCTGAAGAGAGATTGACCAAGATCTACAGAACCCTGAGAAAGGTTGAACAAAAAATTCATTGTAGTCAGCCTATATGACCGTAGGCGATGAGAAATCTTGAACCCTACCCAGTAAATTTGCCTATTTAAACATACAAGAAATCTGTCCCCAAAAATATTAACATGCAAGGCTGCTGCAGACCTGTAACTAGAGAGTTGTCCGATGATTACCACTTTCTAAAATAAAGATACCCATCATTTTCTTTCAATTTTTCGGTAGGGTATAATTGTATCTAAGTTTAAATGACAGCCTATTTACCTAACTGCATATATAAAATATAGGTAAAAGAACTATCAAGAAGCTTAGAAGGCAAAAGCAACACCAATAGAAAAGGCTACATACAGCAAAAACGCACCGCTTTCAATGATTTCTCCTTGAATTGGATCATTCTATTCAGCCAACCAATTGGGGTTGTAGAACTGAGCAGCCACATCAATTCTACATGAGCACGGACATGAGACTGCACAAACACTGAAGCCTGAACATGAAAACAAAATCTACATTTAGGTTTAGCCTACAGAGATGAATAATTGGCAATATAAAAATAAATAAATATACAAAGAGAGCCAGACCTTGGAGGGATCCACTCCACATGCCAAGTAAATTGCTGCTGTTTCTTTTGTTGCTTTGGATAGCTGTTGTGTATCATAAGGCAAGGTGATCTATGAATAACATGCCCAAACTGAAATTAGATAATTCGTTTCCATATCACAACCATAGTAAACCATGAACTGATGTCCTATACACACACGCACACATATATATGTATGTGTGTGTGTGTGTGTTCGTATGTATATGTATATGTACATGCATATATATCCCCCACAGTTGAAAGAAGTTGAATAAGAAAATAGCTACCAGGTGAAAGTTCAGCTGGTCAGCAACAAATCACGTGTCAAAAGAATGAAGATGAAGCACAAATTAAAGACAGAAAATTTCCAGACTTAGTATATGATTATCTTACTTTTCAGTGAGTGAATTGGTTCCAAGTGTCTATCGTGCAAGTTCAAGGAGACAGGACAAAAACTTGAAAACCGTTGTGATATAAGGCCTAGTTTCACAATAAAAACTATCTTTGATCAAGCTCTAAGGACAAAAAAAAAATGCACAGCTATTTATTCCGATTAAATTTCATTAAATTATCTCTATGATTAATTTTTCATGCTTATCAATACAACCAGATATTCAGAAACAGTGCTTCCTTGTACCAGATGGGTTGTTCAAGGATAAATGAGTTCAGAAAACATGTAAACACAAAGAGTTATGGTCTTCAGAAAAATTACAGGAGATAACAAGTGATTAACAAATGCCAAACAACAGTAGAAGCAAGAAAAACAATGAAAGTGTGATTAATCAGCAGTTCAAAGCAACATAACAACAATCACAGTCCACAGATATGGACATACCGCATGCAGGTCCACAATGAAGAAAAGGGTGTCATATGCGTTCTGCAAAAGGGAAACCAGAAGATGAACGCAAAATCACATTTAATCACCTGAATGATAATCCAGAATGTAACAACGTTTCCAGAACTTATAATTGCTCAAACAGGAGTTCTTCAGGAAGCATAAGATGCTAGACAAAACTCATAATAAGAACCCTCAGACCAGCAATTTATCAGGATGAGCAAGGAAAGATGGGACCCTAAGTAGCACATTCATTTACCATGTCAAGCTATACTGGTTTGAAGATTACAATTAGTAAATCGTAAACAGAACACTGTAACTAGTTAATAAAACAGCATTTAGCATTATTTCAACTGTTTCACCTCTAACCTGGAATGCAAAATCAACTTAACTGGTCATTAAAAAATTGAACAGCAATCCAGAAATGCTCAGAACTTAATCAAGTGAAAGTTATTGAGCAAGTTTCTTTTAAATAAAACTGTGGATTATTAGAAATCTCAAAGCATAAGACATTTGCAGGCACATAGAAGATACATTTTCTGCAATTGCCAAGAAACATGGCCACACTGTCCTACCAATAATACGAGGCCAATACTAATGGCAAGCCAACTGTGCAAACAAAATGCACCAAAGCTTCTTTACATATAAAACCAAAAAGACAAACTGTTCAAATTTTCCAAACCTGTATCTGAACCTTACTTGCAAGTCAATCCAATTTTTTATAGCCCCAAGATAATTGCCAAGATGTATGGATCCTGTGGGCTGCACACCAGAGACTATCCTCTTCCTATTAAACAAGAAGAAGGAAAGAAAACTTAAGTTCCACATAATAAGTTTTCTAAAATGAAGTAGAAATTTAGTACCTCTTTCCTTTCCCATATCTCATAATCATTCATCTTGGAAATCCCAAAATGTTTGACACATGCGTTAGAATGTAACTACTTATTTCTACACTTTCCAGTGTTAGTAGTTTTTTCACTCAAAGTTACTATATATGCCAAATGCAATACACATGAAATAAAACTCTTTCCACCAAAATTCAGAAACATATTTTGGTCAACAGTTAAAAAGTTCAAAATTTTGAAGATGTCATACCCAAAAAAAGAGAAAAAAGGCACCTTTGGAACTCTCCAAATCAATCTTCATTTTCTTACCCATCCTCGAAGATTCGTCAACCACATGCAAAGTAAACTTCAAACAATAAAAGATAATGCAAGGAGATTTCTAGTTGAAAAACTCATCCACAAAGCTGAAGTCAAAGAAGGAAGGCACTTTTCTTCCTCAGCACGAAATACTAATCAATCACACAGTTAACCTACTATATTTCTCAGTTAAAAAAGAGTGCTCCTTGATTACATCGTTGCCACAGACACATTTCTCATTCTCAATGATTAACAAACAAAAGATAATAATCATAACAGCAGCAGCTAGTATTATGCACCACCTCTAATCAATGTACCAAACGAATTTAATAACCTTTGAGCTTTGAAAGATAAATGAACGAGTAAAATACATTAACGACTTGAGAAATACGTATTTTAATTACTTTACGGGAGTGGAAGACGGTTCTGAAGTCGCAGGCTCCGAGACGGCTACGCTGCAGAGACATCGCAAATTTTCGCGAATCGGCGGAATTTTGGCGGTTCCGTTCAAGTATTTCCTCGGATTCAATCTACATGTCCTGCTCAGAATTTTTAGAGAGAAATCTTAATCAGTAAAAAAAACACACACACAAAGAGCACATACAATGGAAGAATGGGGTAAATGAAATTGGAAAATGGAAGAGAAAGTGAGATTAGCACATGGAAGCTCTGAAGTGAGGCCCAGCCGTCGTTGACAAAGAGAGGAATTGCGAGAGAAGTGCGGGTGCCCGCCCCATTGTTACTTTCTTCTTCTTCTTCTTCTTCTTCTTCTTCAGCGGAGTTGCGTTTTCCCCTTTTTGTTTTTGCTTTTTTTTTTTTTAACAGGATAAGAAGCACGAGGTTTTCGTTTCCACTTCCGATAGACCCGATGGAACAGGAAGTAAACCTCGCGCTTTTCTTTTCTTTTTATTTTTCTTTTTTTAGTTTTTCTCAATATTTGTAATTCAGGAATTTCTTCAAAACAAAAATAATTTGAGATTACTTAAATGCTCCTAATTAGTTAGAAATCTACTTACAGTGAGCCCGTTTAGATTGTGTTTTTGGAAGTTTTTAAAGAAAAATAGTTGAAACACTCTTTTTAGGATGGAATGTACGTAGGATAAAAAAAATATATGAAGAAAGATTCTCATAAAAATTAAAAGATTTTTCTGTAAAAAATGCAATTCAAACGATCAATAATTAGAAATAAACAATAATTTTTTTTATTTGTTGTGAAGTAATTCACCATTGCACCTAATTTTTTTCATTTAAATATTCTATCATGGATAAGATATCAAATTCTTGAATGATAAATAACTAAGAGGCAATTATTTGTTTAATAGGAGAAAAATCTAAAGAGACACTTAATATTATGTACCCAATTGGATATATTTTTGTACAAAACTTTGTACCTTGATATATTTTTCACTACAAAACATAATAAATTTCATCAATCCACTTAACTTTCAAACTTGCAATATTTGCTTGTTATTTTTTGTTTTTAAATAAATAAGCTAATTTCCATTCACCTTTGTTAGATTTTGATAGAGGGAAAAAAAACTTGGAGCTTTTTCTTGTATTTTCTTCTCTTTTTTTGGGTTTGGGAAATTTTCCGATAAACATTTTGGAAATTCATTTTTGCTTGCACAACGGTACCCTTTTGCTAAATGAAGAAATTCATTCTCGCAGATCCCATTTTTTGATGGAGTACTATCAGGACCAAATAAAGTACCACAGGGTCGTTTAGCATAGTAATCTTTGCGTTTAACCAATCAGTGATAATACGATGCCGTTCCACTTAAGGAATGGCGGTTGATGTAATGAGCGCTAAATTCTGTTGGGATAAATTGCATAAATAGTCCCTCTGCATTTGTAATTCGGTTATGAGAATAAATGCTAGAATCATTTCCTCTTTCCTTTCTGTTAAGCCCTCTCTCTTTCTCTCTCTCTCCCTTTCCCTCCCTCTCATCTTCTCTAATTCTTCCTTGTTCTTCATTTCCTTCCCGCTCTCTATAACTCAATTCCAATTCCAGAAATTGCCTTGCGACCCTGACATTTGGTATCAGAGCGGTCGATCCTTGGCCGCGAAGATATCTAATATGGTAGAGAGCACTCGATTTAGGAGTCTGGAAGATCAACTCAAGAAACAGGATAGTAAGCTGCAGGAATTGATGCAATCTGTGGCAACAATGCAGAATTCAAGTATGGAGGAGCTGCAGCAGAAGCTTCATACCGACATGGACCAGAATAATGCGAAATTGGAGGCAATGGTGGGGAATTTGGACCAGAAATTCAATAAGATGGAACAGAGGTTCAGTACGATGATGAAGCTGCTGATGAAGGAGAAAGGCGTTCCTGACGGGGAAGGAGGCGGAACTGAACCAATCTTGCCGACACCTCCATTGCATCTGCGATTGACACCTTCAAACGAAGGGCCAGGGAGTCAACCCGAGATGAGAGGTAGGCAGTTCTTTCCTAATATGCCTCGTATGGAGTTACCAATGTTTAGCTCTGGGAACCCTAGGGAGTGGGTGAGAAAATGTCAAAAATACTTCCTGAATTATCAGATAGCAGAATGTCAGAAAGTAGATGTAGTAGAAATGTTTTTGGAAGGGAAGGCTGACAATTGGTTCCAAGGGGTAAAACTTGTGAAACCTGGACTGTCCTGGGGAGAATTTAGTGAACTCTTGTTTGAGAGATTTTCTAGAAGAAACTCACGTGACATAGTGGAGGAGTTTAATAAGCTACATCAAAAAGGCACTATTGAAGATTATGAGGAGAAATTTAAGGAACTGAAAACACTCATGCTGACAAGAAATCCTAGATTAGATGAGTCTTACTTTGTTTCCAGTTTTATTAGTGGACTCAAAGACGAGATCAAGCCTATGGTGAAGATGTTTAAACCGCAGACACTAATGAAGGCTTTCGAAGTGGCAGAACTGCAAGAATGCTCCCTGGAATCCAGAGCAAACAAAATAAGGCCACAGGGAGGGGGACAGTAGAACCTAGATTTGGAATGTACAAGAATTCCACACAGGACCAGGCTCGCCAACACTCATACAGGTTACCAGCTATTATCCCTGCCCCGAGGAAAACTGATTCAATCCATAGAGACATCAGTAAGATAACAGTTGAGAAAATGCAGTATAGACGTAAGCATGGCTTGTGCTACAAATGTGGGGAAAAATTTGGAGTATGACACCAGTGCAAGAAAGGAAATCTGAATTGTGTAAACACTGAAGAGGAGGAGGAGGTTGAATTTGAGGATGCTGAAGGAGAGCAAGATGAACTCACTGGAAGGGTGGGGGAATTAGCAGAAGTATCCCTCAATGCATTGTTTGGAGCCATAAAAAGGAAGTCTATCCTGCTGATAGGCAACTTAGGGGGATTTCCAGTCAAAATCTTGGTGGACACAAGAAGCTCTGACAGTTTTATCCACCATAGAGTTGTCAACCTGTTGCATTTGCCATACCACTCAGTCAGCCCTTTCACTGTGACCTTAGCAGATGGGACTGACATCACTAGTGGTGCCATTAGTCCCAATGTAAGCTAGGTGATACAAGACTATCGATTCCAATTTGATCTGAAAATAATGGAGTTATGGGGATGGGATATAATACTGGGAGTAGACTGGATGTGCCAATTCAGTCCCATCACTTTTGATTTCCATTCCCTCAGCATTGCACTTAGTGATAAGGGGAGTATACTGCACTTGCAAGGGTTGGTGAACCAGCCTGCAATGAGGCTAGTGAGGGGCAAGGACCTCAGAGCATTCATACAGGAGAAGCAAGCAAGCTGCGTAGCACTGGAGACAGAAGCAACAAGGGGGTCAGAGGATCAGCTTCCAGACTCCATATGAGGAATCCTGCAACAACATTCGGAGGTGTTTTCCACTCCTAAAGGCTTACCCCCAAAGAGGGAGCTGGATCATCAGATCAACCTCAAACCAGGTGCTGAGCCTTTTAAACTCAAGCCATACAGGTACCCCCACTCTCACAAAGCAGAAATTGAAAAACAGGTTGCTGAGATGCTCACTAATGGAATTATTATGCACAGCACTAGCCCTTTTGCCTCTCCAGTATTGTTAGTAATAAAGAAGGATAATTCTTGGAGACTCTGTATAGACTATAGGAAACTGAATGAGCTAACTGTAAAAGACAAATTTCCTATCCCCAATATACATGAGTTGTTAGATGAGTTGCATGGCACGAAATATATGTCTAAACTCGATCTCAGAGCTGGCTACCATCAACTAAGAGTTAAGGCAGTTGACATTCCCAAAACTGCTTTCCAGACACACCATGGCCACTTTGAATTCTTAGTAATGCCTTTTGGATTGACAAACGCTCCAGCCACATTCCAGGCATGGATGAACAGGATTTTTCAGCCATACCTGAGAAAGTTCGTTTTGGTTTTCTTCGATGACATTCTAGTGTACAGCCCAACCTTGGAGTCGCATGCACAACACCTACAAACTGTACTCACTGTATTAGCAGAAAATCAGTTATACTGCAAAATGTCAAAGTATTCGTTTGCTCAAACTTCAATTGAATACCTGGGGCATATAATATCTGAAGCAGGGGTGAGCATGGACTCTACCAAGATAGAATGCATCAAGTCATGGCCTGTTCCTAAAACAGTAAAGGAATTGAGGGGTTTTCTAGGATTAACTGGTTACTACAGAAGGTTCATAAGGGGGTATGGGGTGATCAGTAAGCCACTCACACTCCTGCTTAAGAAAGAGGGGTTTACATGGAATCACAATGCTCAGTTGGCTTTCGAAAATTTAAAAAGAGCCATGACCACAGCTCCAGTATTGAGTATGCCAAATTTTGATCTTCCTTTTATGATCGAGACTGATGCCTGTGGGGTTGGCATTGGGGCAGTATTGATGCAACAGGGACATCCCCTGGCTTTCCTTAGCAAAGCTTTATCAGCTCAGAATTTGGGACTGTCAGTCTATGAGAATGAGCTTTTTGCATTAGTATTGGCTGTGAGCAAATGGAAGCATTATTTAGTTGGTCACCACTTTATCATCAGGACTGACCACCAAGCCCTTAAACATCTGTTGGAACAAAGACTTACTCATCCTCTGCAACACAAATGGCTAACCAAACTATTTGGATTGGATTATGAAATACAGTACAAGAGAGGCTCAGAAAATGGGGTAGCTGATGCCCTGTCCAGAAGGAGGATGGAGAGAACTGACACGGGCAGTGAACAAGCTGAGCACCAGGTATGTGCCATCTCCACAGTCCAAGCTAGGTGGATGCAGGAGTTGCTGGAAAGTTATACTGGGGATACATTGGTTCAGCAGAAGCTAGCTGAGCTACTACTGGATCCCCATGCAGACCCTGATTATCAGGTGGAAGGGGGGGTACTCAAGTTCAAAGGGAAACTGTATGTAGGCTCAGCCAATGACACCAGAATCAGGCTGATCAGGCTCTTGCATGACTCAGCAATTGGGGGGCACTCAGGACAGAGGGGGTGCCTGCACAGAATACAGGCTTTGTTCCATTGGCCTGGGTTAAAAAGGGATGTTATCCAATATGTCAGATCCTGTGATGTTTGCCAGAGGAACAAGCACGAAAATGTCCCCTATCCTGGTCTATTACAGCCTATTCCAGTGCCTCAACAGGCCTGGTCACACCTTACCATGGACTTCATTGAGCAATTACCACCATCTCATGGATTTGATACCATACTGGTAGTGGTGGATCGATTCACTAAGTTCAGTCACTTTATCAAACTCACTCATCCTTATTCTGCACAGCAGGTGGCTCAGATTTTTCTGGATAATGTATACAAGCTACATGGTTTACCAGAAACAATCATATCTGATAGGGACAGGGTTTTTCTTAGTAACTTCTGGCAGGAATTATTCAGTTTATTGGGAGTG